TATGGCGACTGAAAAAAAAAATTTCAGTCGCCAGTTGGCGCCTGCCTTAAAAAGTTAATTTCGGACCCTGTATGAGAGAGTTGAACCTCACTATTTTTATAAATCAAAAGACTAAGACTCAAGGTGCTTTTACATTTGAACAGAATTATCCCTAATAGAAGAGACTGAAGAAAATATAAGATATATGGTACAGACTTAAAAAAGGGCAGTGGCAGCCTGGTCAGCACGTGGCAATTTAAAATGGTCCAGGGCTGTTAAATGTCAAGGTTTGATTGCCCGATACGTGATAACAGTATAAATGAGTTGCAATATAGTGTACAAGGCACTGCAAAGCTGGCGAAGCTCCAAAAATGAAATAATAGATCCCTTTTTTCCTTAACTCTAGCTTCATCAACTTTGTTGAACTGTTAGTTCTGATGCTGAAAGTTCCATGAGACACACACCATTTTGATTTCATGATTGTCAAATGATTCCAGACTCCTCACCAAGAGCAAAATTAATGTACTTGTGGTCCGCTTTCAAAGGCAAATGTCATATCTCATTGACAACAGTTTTGGGACATTTATTTACATTTAATACGTGTGTACATTATTTTGTGTAAAGGGAGAGGACATTTAAGGCAACTTTATTTTATTGTGGGCCTCTATGACTCTAGGAAACTGGCTCACTAACCACTAAGCACTGTGACAGCGTGAGTAGTGTGAGTTAATTTTAGCCCTGAAAGCAAAGACCTACTTGGTGGTAATCTCTGAACAAGAGAGTGACAGTTCAATATTTTTTAACAAGTTTTGTTATTATTGATCTTCTTTTGTATCATATTCATATTTACAATTTGTAATCTCAAATGTAAATGAAATTAAAATCAAACTGGTTTGATAAATTCAAACAAAATGAATATATACTACATTTTGCATGACAAAAACACCTCTGGATTACCCTCATCTCAATAACATGATTTTGTTCTCCTCTTTCCAAAAGACAGACAAAGCCTCTAGCACAGACATCTCTCAAATGCAGACGCTTTTGAAGCAGATACCTCTCTAAGGTTGACACCAATCTTAGAGAGGCAGTCACATAAGAGAGGTGTCTGCCTCAGTGGTTTTTACAAGGAGATATCTCCCTTTAGGAGGATGCCTTTCTAAGACAGATAGCTCTTTAAACAATCTCTAAGACAGCCATCTCTTCTAATAAGAATACAATCCTAACACAGGTCAGAGAGAAAATCACTGAAGTAACAAAGTTCGTTTCTGTCACATTCAGATTGAGGAATAAAAATTCTTTTCACAAAATTTGAAAGCTCTAAGACAGCCACCTCTACTAATGTGAATACAACTCTAAGAAAGACAGGGAGAAATTCATAAATGAACAAAGTTCTTTTCTGTCACATTCAGATTGAGGAACAGATATTCTTTTGATAAGTTAACAATGATGGTGAATTTTAAGCTCGGTAATGAAATGTGAAGGTGAATTAATCAACATGACACGAGCGTGGGA